AAGACGCTTTAGTTGTGAGCAAACTGCAGAGGGACGCGGCGCGGGGTCCCTGGAAAGGCAGGCTCTGCGGGAGCCGTGTCTAACTCTTGCTTGGGCCACCCCATCTCTCCGGGCTCCCAGTTCTTCATCTATAAAACTGTGCTGGTGACACCCTCCACGGGAAGTCTGTGGCTCTTCACCACTGACACCAATGGAAAGCTACAGGGCCAGGAACCAGCACTCACCTCCCTTCCACCACCCGGCTCTGTGCTTGTCCTCCCCTGGCCCGAGACAGTAGATGGTGTGGTCACCTCCAGGAGTTCTCTGTTCTGATGACTCAGATTTGAGTCCCTGCCCTGCCCCCTCTACTGCATGACTTCAAGGAGGATCCTGAACCTCTCTGTGCTGCTTATAATAGGGTGATACATAGGAGCTGTCTTGCATTTTTTTTTTTTTTTTTTTTTTGGATCAAGGAGATAAACCGCATGAATTGCTGAGGATGGCGACTGGTACAGAATGGTGCTCCATGGAAACTGGCACACTGCTACCAATCCAGCCAGCGCCTCCCTCCGGGCCCTCCAGGGGAAGCACCCCCAGTGCTGGGCCACGCCCACCCCTAATCTCACAGCGATGGCCTCCTCTACCCTGCGTCAGTGCCCTACCAGCCTCCAAAGCCCTCTGTGGCCTTGAACAGGATGCCCACCTTTCCTCCTAGAAATGCCGTTACCTTCTTGGTCTCCATGGAGACAGCAGGGGCTGGAGTCAGGCCTGGATGCAGTGGGACCGGAGGCTCAGCCGCGCCCTGACGTGGTTCATCAGGGAGGTGCCCAAGCTGCCTGTGGACCTCGAGTGGCACTATTCGCCGAAGGCCAGGAGCCCCTGAGAACAGCACGAAGGGGTCCTCAGGCTCCTGCAGAGACAGCTCAGGTGCTGAAGTTAGGGGCATGGCAGGGGTTGACCCCACCACCTCCGCCTCTGAGTTGGCTGGTAGCACTTCTCTGCTCGCCAAGACCCCAGACATCTTTTGTCTCATCTGAACCCCCTGCTCCTGGCTCTAACAGTTGATGGAGGCAGAGGTCCAAAGCCATTTGACAGATGAGGAAGCAGGCTCAGAGAGGTAAGGCAATTTGCCTAAAGATACACAGCTGGTTTGCCCTCTTCCAAAGTGTCCCTCCCTTTGTGCCATTCCCTCCATGGTGACCTTGGTCGAGGACACTGCTTATAATCCAGACTCGGAAAGTCAGTGTAGCTCTAAGGACAGACTTCCAGTGTTACAGTACCTGGGACATAGTTGTAGGTGTTCAATAAATATTCTTGAAACAATGTCCTATCATTTTAAATTTTAAAATGGTGAGTTTTGAGTACCTGCGAGGCAGCAGGATTTTCCTACACATTATTCCATTTATCTTCACAATACTCTATGTAATACCCCAGAGTAGGTGTCAGGGCCCCCGGGTCCCTCCAAACACTTGAGGCAGGCTGGTTTTGGCATTGCTGATGGCAGTGTCGGTGGAGTCTGGGTCCATCCATGGCCCCGAGCACCTGCTCCTTTCCAGCCCTTGAGGCTGACACACTGTTGAGTGGGCGCGCTGCCTTGTGAATGCCCACCAATCGCCCCTCCTGATGCGAGGTAAAAGGAGCAGCGGAGACCCAAACGGAACAGGAGAAGGGCTGGAAGTCAGAGAGCTCCTGGGAGACTTCCCTGTCCCCTCCCCTCGGGGAGAGACGGAGAACCCCGGAGTGGGTCCCTAGATCAGCTCTCAGGCACGGTCCCCAAGGAGCACGTCCTGCAGGCCTGGCCGTGGCCTCCCCGGGGAATCAGCCCAGTGAACAGTACATCTCCTGAGGGTGGCTGTGGTGGGGACCAGGCCAGTGCAGTGCCCTCGGGCTGCTCAGCCTCCAGGGAGCCCAGCTACTGGAGCAACTCTCGTGCCCCCAGCCACCCCTCACCCCCCAGCCCCACGGGAGCCCTCCAACCACGTCTCCTGGGGAGGCAGGGCCTGGCCACCAGCCCGCTTCCTCCGGGTCCTCAGCCGCCCCTCCTGCTGGCTCCTCTCAGCCTGTCCCCACATGCAGCTCCCAGACCAGCCCAGCCATGGGGAGTGGTCGGTCAAGATCAAAGGGAAGGAGAAGGGGCTCCCCTTGGCCTGGGCCAG